TCCTAAGGGGCAACCAGGCCCACTCCAAACTCCAGTTAAAAAAAAATTAAAGGCATATAATACAACTCCCTGTACCTATTAAATCTAACATGGAAGGTACAAGTCCTAAGGGGCTACCATGGCCACTCCAAATTCCAGTTCTGACAAGTTTATAGCTATTTTTTGACTTCTGGTGTTAGTCATTGAAAGGCAAAGCCTAAGATTTCTGAATCTTGACTCAAGTCTTGGATCCAAATCAGAGCGGACTAGCCCTAAATTGATACAAACAGAAATTTCAATTTTCCAAAGCAATTAATGGCTGGCTGAACCAAAGCTTATGGTCAGTATACAGCCCAGTAATGAGCATAGCCAGATATTCAGAATGCTTCCTACACTACCTTTGATGATGAAAATATTGGAATATATTTCAATTCTCCTCTTTTATTAGTTCTTTCCCTTTTTTTAAATTTGAACCACTCATCAACTGTCTTTTGGGCATTCTTGTTGTCACTTGCAAAGCACATATTTTAGACTTAATTAAAATCATGATGTGCTCTAAGATGCTTGCAAGAAGCTCTTTTTAGAAACAGCTATAAATTGCCTCAAGATCTGGACCCTTTCTCTTCCTGCTGAGGTGTATGTTCTTTGGAACTATTACTGTATATGCAAAGAACCTAATCAAACTAGTTGATTCTTGCAGAAACTTATTAAAAGGCTCAGCTAGATGTAGTTACTCAAAATGCTGCTGAAGCAGCATCTATTATTATTATTATTATCACCATCCTTAGCTGGTATCCTAGATTGGCGGCTTGCTTACATCTCTGTAGCATCTCCTGGTCTGACCCCCACAATTTGGCAATGAAAATCTGTTCGCCTTTCAATTTGAACTCCAGAAGGATGTTTCTGCCTTCTTTTCATAAGCAAGCAGGGCTGCAACAAGGACTTCCAATAGGAGCCTGGCTTCTTATTATTGCCACTTCACTTTCTGGCAGGAATGGTGGAAACGTGGTCCTCTATGCCACCAGATCAGAAAGTGAATGGATCCTTCACCTGATCCAGTTGCTGGCTTTTAAGGTAAGCTTGTTGTTTATTTGTCCAGTCACTTCTGACTCTTCGTGACCTCATGGATCAGCCCATGCCAGAGTTCCCCGTCGGCCGTCACCACCCCCAGCTCCTTCAGAGTCAAGCCAGTCACTTCAAGGATACCGTCCATCCATCATGCACTTGGTCAGCTAGAGTGGCATTTACATAAGTTTAGGGTATGACTACTGAATGCAAATCAGCTATGGATCCATAACATTAGATTATACATCTGTACCTACAATATTTGAATACCTGCCACGGATGGATGGGAATTTCTCAAGAGTGAAATACTCAAGGCGCAATTGCAAACTGTGCCAACAAAGAGAAAAAATAGGACAAGTGCAAAGAATCCAGAATGGATGTCCAAAGAACTTCTAACTGTGCTAAGACACAAAAGAGACATGCACAAGAAGTGGAAAAAGGGAGAAATCACCAAAGAAGAATTCAAACAAATAGCCAACACCTGTAGTGAAAAGGTCCACAAGGCTAAAACAAAAAAACGAGCTCAGACTTGCCAGGGACATTAAAAACAATAAAAAGGGCTTCTTTCTTATGTCAGTAGAAAAAGGAAAAACAAGGAGGCGATAGGACCTCTTCGAGGAGAAGATGGGGCAATGCTGACAGGGGATAGGGAAAAGGCAGAACTACTTAATGCCTTCTTTGCCTCGGTCTTCTCACAAAAAGAGAGTCTTCAACCTCAGCAAGATGGAGTGGATGAGGGATTGGAGGACATCCAACCCCAAATTGGGAAAGAAGTTGTCCAGGAATACCTGGCCGCTCTTAATGAGTTCAAGTCCCCAGGGCCAGATCAACTACACCCCAGAGTATTGAAGGAACTAGCGGAAGTCATTTCGGAACCATTGGCAACCATCTTTGAGAGTTCTTGGAGAACGGGAGAAGTTCCAGCAGATTGGAGGAGGGCCAATGTGGTCCCAATCTTGAACCAAAACAACTACCGTCCGGTCAGCCTCACGTCGATACCGGGCAAGATTCTGGAAAAGATTGTTAAGGAAGCGGTCTGCAAACACTTAGAAACAAATGCAGTCATCGCTAATAGTCAACATGGATTTTTCAAAAACAAGTCATGCCAGACTAATCTGATCTCTTTCTTCGATAGAGCTACAAGCTGGGTAGATGCGGGGAATGCCGTGGATGTAGCGTACCTGGATTTCAGTCAGGCCTTCGACAAGGTCCCCCATGACCTTCTGGCAAGGAAACTAGTCCAATGTGGGCTAGGCAAAACTACGGTGAGGTGGATCTGTAATTGGTTAAGTGAACGAACACAGAGAGTGCTCACTAATGCTTCCTCTTCATCTTGGAAAGAAGTGACAAGTGGAGTGCCGCAGGGTTCCCCCCTGGGCCCGGTCCTGTTCAACATCTTTATTAATGACTTAGATGAAGGGCTAGAAGGCAATGATCATCAAGTTTGCAGACGACACCAAATTGGGAGGGAAGCCAATACTCCAGAGGACAAGAGCAGAATTCAAAACAATCTGAACAGATTAGAGAGATGGGTCAAAACTAAGAAAATGAAGTTCAACAGTGACAAATTTAAGATACTCCACTTAGGCAGAAAAAATGAAATGCAAAGATACAGAATGGGAGACACGTGACTCGAGAGTGGTACGTGACGTGTGAAAAAGATCTTGGGGTCCTCATGGACAACAAGTTAAACATGAGCCAACAATGTGATGAGGCAAAAAAAGCCAATGGGATTTTGGCCTGCATCAATAGGAGCATAGTGTCTAGATCTAGGGAAGTCATGCTACCCCTCTATTCTGCTTTGGTTAGACCACACTGGAATATTGTGTGCAATTCTGGGCACCACATTTGGAAAGAGATATTGACAAGCTGGAATGTGCAGAGGAGGGTGACTAAAATGATCAAGGGTCTGGAGAACAAGCCCTATGAGGAGCGGCTTAAAGAGCTGGGCATGTTTAGCCTGAAGAAGAGAAGGCTGAGAGGAGATATGATAGCCATGTATAAATATGTGAGAGGAAGCCACAGGGAGGAGGGAGCAAGCTTGTTTTCTGCTTCCCTGGAGACTAGGACGCTGAACAATGGCTTCAAACTACAAGAAGAGATTCCATCTGAACATTAGGAAGAACTTCCTGACTGTGAGAGCCGTTCAGCAGTGGAACTCTCTGCCCCGGAGTGTGGTGGAGGCTCCTTCTTTGGAAGCTTTTAAACAGAGGCTGGATGGCCATCTGTCAGGGGTGATTTGAATGCAATATTCCTGCTTCTTGGCAGGGGGTTGGACTGGATGGCCCATGAGGTCTCTTCCAACTCTTTGATTCTATGATTCTATAATTACTACCATCATTACAGAAACTGAAAATCTTAGGTGTGTAGCAGTATTTATTGTTGTACTTATCAGAATATTCATACAAGAATGGAAAACGGAATGTCAGTGGACATTTAAGATGGGCTTAAATCAGTGGTTCCCAATCTGTGGTCCGTGGACCAGCAGTGGTCCTCAAGAACTAAAATATGGCTCATGGCCTCACCATTACTATACTGTTGTAATGAGAGCAACTGGTCTTGCGAAAACATCTTAAAGTGCTGAGGCAACGGGGATGTTGGGAGGGGAGAGGCTGACTACCCATGAAAGGCGCGACAACAAGCCCCCTGACTGCTGCTTCTCCTGCTCCCCCCTCCCCCTGAGCAGAGCCATTCCATGGCGCCTTGGTGTCTTTGTGTCTTCATTTTTAGGCCTGTTCCTGTGGTTATTTGGGGTGCTGAGCCAAAAAATTGCATTGGATAGACCACGTCAGCAATAGATTATTAAACATGGTTTTCTGTGGGTGAGCAGTTGGCGACTACTGGATGGCATATCTTCTGAATCAGAATCTAGAACAGATGTGGTATATCCAGTGCAGTTTTCTAAATCAACACACCAAATAACCAACCGAATCTAAAGTTGACCGAAAACTGATTTGTAACCCTTTTAGTACTAACATTGGGGAGTGGTCCCATATTTGCTAGTGGCTTTTATCTTAAGACTTTCTTCAGAGGGCTATATAAAAGTCATAAGAGAACAACACATGATACCAGGTTTTTGAAGAACATTAATGTTTGCACCTTGTCTATAGCATATATATACCCAATGAAGTCGAAACTACAAACTTCCTGCCAGTTCTGAATCAGGAAGCCCAAAACTACTTTCTGGCAGAATAAAAGTATGTAAATAAAGACTAGTAACTCTTTGTTTTTAAAACTACTAAATTGATCATAACATCCTAACATGTATCTCCATTTTCACTGAAGAGCAATTGCAAATTTAACATAAGATCCTGATACATGAAAAATACATACTTATGTATCTTTAACTTTATATTCTTTTAGTGGGAAGTTATGTTCCAGATAACACATATGCACATACTACAGGGTGGAGATGGTTATGACCCTGGACATTGGGTTTCTAACTAAAGCTTCTGCAGCAGATTTGATTTCATTCCTCCTCTTCAGCTGGCATTTCTAAGAGCTGGCTTAGTCCTGAAGTTGGGGCTTCAAAAGAACTGGCCGAGCTCAAAGCAAGCCTCACATGCCATGCGTCATCTCAGTTGACATGGTGAAGGACACATAGAGGAGGCTGCCACTTCCAGACTTTTACTTTCAACAGCATTGGGGCCAGGGATGTAGGGTGCAACAAAGCATTGAAGTGTAATGATTTGATGCTGGAATATTGCAGTTGTGATGGGGAAACCGAAATAGAAATGGTAGTAATAAGATCACATGATATGTTCTTTCATGCAAGATATCTGATGTTTGTTTCAAGCAATGTGCATTTTGTAACATTTCTTTTTAAAGAAATGTAGAGGAAAGTAGATGTTTATGGAATTTCTGAATCAGTCTGTGCTTCTTGGTACTGATTTTTATCACCCAAATTGCAGTCATTCTTTTCAGTCTTGACCATCTCCCTGTGTTATTTTCCTTAGGTATGCTTCAGAAGTACCCATCACTGGAAGATTTTGTGGATGCCCTTGTTTCAGACTTAGATCAAGACTTTGAAACATTCTTTATGGATTCTGAATAAAAGAGAAGAGAAAATTAAATATTCTGGTGAAGATTTTTAATACATATAATAATGTACATAACTCACTTGTTGATTATATTGCTAAATCTTGATGAAAAAATGTGAAACAAAAGTAAAAGTTTACCTGAGAGTAAAGTGTTTTTCTTGTTTAAAAAAACCCTATTGGCGATGGCTTTACAATAGGCATACCTTTCACAGTATTTACATGACTTGGAAATATGTTCTAATTAGGTCCCTTTCCCAAACAGTGAGTGTGTGATGAGTGAACAGAGTTGTGCATTTTGACCATACCCTTTATAGTGTGTGGTAGGAGACATTTCTGTAAATTGAAGTTGCATTCATACAGTTGCTTGATCAAGGTTTCCAACAACTTGAATACTAATATAACTATTATATAAGTCTAAATGTTTAATCAAAAATCATGCCAAAACCCTGGGGCAATTTATTTGTAAATCAATATAAGTACTATATCTTAACTCTTAACTCATGAGAAAGCACTGCCCTCTTCCCTCTACAAAATGGCCCTTGACATATTCATTGTTGTTGTTTATTCCTTCTGTCACTTCCGAATCTTCGTGACCTCATGGACCAGCCCACGCCAGAGCTCCCTGTCGACCGTCACCACCCCCAGCTCCTTCAGAGTCAAGCCAGTCACTTCAGGGATACCATCCATTCATCTTGCCCTTGGTCGGCCCCTCTTCCATATGATTTATTCATATGTCACATCAAAATATAATTTTGGCCCCAAAACCTGCCTTTGTCAGGTCAACTTATACACAAGTATGTTATCGTATGTATATCTATGTCTATATAAGGCACAACCATGTATTATGCTAATCTCCATTTACTCATGTTTTTAAAACAACAGCAAACCATATTTATGAATGGGAAATTTTTCAACCTGTAGTTGTACAGTGGCCAGAAAAAAATCCTGTCATTTAACATTTGTATGATATGCAGAAACAGCAAATGAAGGTTCTCTTAGCTTTCACAGTATGTCTTGTTGAGTGGTAATGTTTGTGTCTCAATTGCTGTTAAATTTTTGGTAGTAGAAGCTGATTGCTATGCCGTGGACTTAAACACATCAATCTTGACAGCAAAACAATGGGAGTTGTAGAAATGTGTGATATAATCACTCTTTCAATATTTGCAGTGGATCAGAGTAGAGTAGGACGCATAATTTCAAAAAATACATCTCCCCTGTAAAATGCATCTATGATTTTTCTACTGACCCCATCTTCACAAGAATCAATGTTTATCCTGCTACAGTAAAGCAGACCTTCACTTTCCAGATCTGTCCTCTCCATGGGCAATTCCTGCTTCAGTGCCGTTCCATCAGTCACGCATGAATCTGGTATGTGCTGCTATGTGTGGCTTTTTTCCCTTCTAGTAACCCAATCCCCTGGCTCAAGTTACTGGTGCAGATGAACCTTTTCATGGGGCTTAGCTAAATATCATCACTAGCTAATTGCATATCAAAGTGATGTTCAAGGATGAAAAGTTCAAAAGTTGGCAACTTTGTGCCCTGTTTCTTCAGATGTATTCGGGACTTTTTAAGACTTCCATCCTCTCTTTATACTGAACACAAGGTTAATTCATCCACTAATGTACTTCTTTATCAAGTGCTGGTAGTGCTGCTCAGTGACTATTTGGCTTACATAATGGGGAGCTCCCATGACTGGCTTAGCATAAACAAAAAACTTTTGGCACAGCCACCTTTCATGCCTTTTTGATTTGACAAGGTTTGAATTTAAGCGATGAATTGAGGTAGGTGATGAGATACTTGCAGTCACATGTGTACCTGGCACACATCTAAAGCTGATTCTATTTCCTTATAGGTTTTTCGGTCAATGATTGGAGGACTTGCCCTGGTTGCCTTTCCTGTAAGACATATTATATGGTTCAAAGACTATTATCAGCAGGCACTGATATGTATTCCTTCTTTGGAGTTCTGTTATAAGAGCTCTAGAAAGGAATGACAGATCCAAGAGGTAAAAGCAACCCAAAAAACAGGATTTCTTAAGATCAAAATGCTGTTTTTATGAATTTTGTTTAAAAAATCAAAATTGCCACCCAGTTATCATTGTTGAGACTATCAGGACACATCATCTGGTCTGCGAGTCTCCTTCCTCGTTATTTATTTTATTTTATTTATTACCACTTCTTTCGCACCACCTGCCACTCCTTCCTTGTCACTGACCATGATGTATGTTCTGTATCAGAAACTAGAACTGATGTGGTTTTTCCAGTGCAATTTTCCGATATAGCACCCCAAATTGAATCTAAAATTGAGCAGTATTACAACTGTGGACAAACAAGAAGGAATTTCAGTGCTATGTGGGCTTTTTTAGACTGAGAGCCAAATAAACAAAATGGGGAGGCCATGAAACTGGAGCTTTTCTGTTATTGATAGTTAAGAATCAGACTTCTTGCATTGTATCATTATGGAGAAATATAACCCTTTTTTCTCATTTGTTTGGGCTTTGCATTTGCATATGTGACCTCTTAGAGATGAGATCAATATGTATGAAAAGGATTCCATACAGGGAACTATTTAAATAATGTAAATAAGCAAACCGCGTGTCACCACTTATATGACAAGCAGACTGTGGGACAATGCACATACACTTTTAGTATTAGCAGAATATAATTTCTGCTGCTTAGAAAACAAGAGTGAAAAACTTTGTTGGACAGGGGGAAAGTGCTCTTCCCTCTCCTTCATGTGCCCCTTACACTTAAAAGTCTGCCACAATGAGTTGATAAAGCCTCTTCATGTAATAATAAAAACCCAAGGTTTTTACCCGGTTTGCAGCAGACTTAAATCAACAGCATCAAAATGTGCCCTTAAGAAGATATTTGTAACATTTCAGGCTGAATATTTCCCCTCCTTCCTTCCTTCCTTCCTTCCTTCCTTCCTTCCTTCCTTCCTTCCTTCCTTCCTTCCTTCCTTCCTTCCTTCCTTCCTTCCTTCCTTCCTTCCTTCCTTCCTTCCTTCCTTCCTTCCTTCCTTCCATGTTGAACAAAGCCTAACTGAACCCAGCTAGCAGCTTCCCGGATATATTGAAGTGAAGTTGGATTCAAAGTGGGAAAACCTAGCAAGACAAAATGTACAGCATGTTTCAAAAATACCAAGTAGCTGAAAAAAGGAATGAAAGCAGTAATTGTATGTTTTGTTTGCCTTGTGGGTCTGGGTTTCAGGCCAGAAGGTGAACATTGGCAGAGATTACATCATGCAAAGAGAAGGAAAAACCTTTTTTCTTCTCTGGAATTCCCCAAGGCTCTGCAGTTTTAAAATTTCTGCAAGTGCCTAATCAAAGGACTATGTTTAGTGTTTGTTTTGGATAGATTATTCCTAAACTGCATAAACACACTTTCCCCATTTTGTCACTCACTAGTTTTTTATTGCTTTCTAGTTGTCAGTATGTAAAACATAAAGCAATTTTTATCTCACATTCTATGTGTTTCTAATGTTAAATGTCTTTATAGAAGTAGCAACAAAGATCTGCATAGTTAAAGCAATAGTATTCCCCACTCTACGGATGTGAGAGTTGGAGCATAAGAAAGGCTGAGCGAAGGAAGATAGATGCTTTTGAACTGTGGTGTTGGAGGAAAATTCTGAGAGTGCCTTGGACCGCAAGAAGATCCAACTAGTCCATACTTCAGGAAATAAAGCCCAACTGCTCATTGGAGGGAAGGTTGTTAGAGACAAAGATGAAGTACTTTGGCCACATAATTAGAAGACAGGAAAGCTTAGAGAAGACAATGATGCTGGGGAAAATGGAAGGACAAAAGAAGAGGGGCCGACCAAGGGCAAGATGGATGGATGGTCTCCTTGAAGTGACTGGCTTGACTCTGAAGGAGCTGGGGGTGGTGACAGCTGACAAGAAGCTCTTGCATGGGCTGGTCCATGAGGAAGAAGAGTCAGAAGCAACTGAACAAATAAACAACAACACAATAGAAGTAGACAATATGATAAAATCATAATAAAATGTAAAGAAGGCCAAAATATTCAAATAGGTATTCCTTTACCACTGGTTTACCTATGTGCTGAGGTCTTCTTACTGCATAATTTATTCTACTTTCACCAGATAAAGCACCATTTTATTTTTGGTCTCAGTTTTCTCCCAAAAATAAAATGGTGCTTTATCTGGTGAAAGTAGAATAAATTATGCAGTAAGAAGACCACAGCACATAGGTAAACCAGTGGTAAAGGAAGACCTATTTACTCTAAATGACTTTAAGTCTCCAGGGAAGGATGAGTTGCATCTGAGTTTATTAAAAGAGTTTGCAGATGTGATTTCAGGGCCATTATTAATTGTTGTTTATTCATTCAGTCACTTCCAATTCTTCGTGACCTCATGGACCAACCCACACCAGAGCTCCCTGTCAGCTATCACCACCTCCAGTTCCTTCAAAGTAGAAACAGTCACTTCAAGGATATCGTCCTTCCATCTTGCCCTTGGTTGGCCTCTCTTCCTTTTTCCTTCCATTTTCCCCAGCATCATTCTCTTCTCCAAGCTTTCCTGTCTTCTCATTATGTGGCCAAAGTACTTCATCTTTGCCTCTGATAGCTTTCCCTCCAGTGAGCAGTCGGCATTATTTCCTGGAGAATGGTCTAGTTGGATCTTCTTGTGCTTCAAGGCACTTTCAGAATTTTCCTCCAACACCACAATTCAAAAGCGTCTATCTTCCTTCATTCAGCCTTTCTTATGGTCCAACTCTTGCATCCATAGATTACTACGAGGAATACCATTGCTTTAACAATGCGGATCTTCCTTGCCAATATGATGTCTCTACTCTTCACTATTTTATCAAGATTGGTCATTGCTCTCCTCCCAGGAAGTAAACATCTTCTGATTTCCTGCGTGCTTGGAGAAGAGAAGTTACTTTACTTACTTACATAGGCGATTCCTCGTTGGACGAGTAAGATGGTCTTCCATTATGTGTTTCCTTGTGGGTTCGTAGGTGGCTGTGGAGCCCTATTCTTGAACTGCATCTTCTCCCACAGTGAGGGCATTGGTTTCCAGGTGGAAGGCGGTCCCGGTCGGGGTTGGCTTGACACGCCTTCCTCCTGGCACATTTCTCTCTTTCACCCTCCACTTGTGCCTCCTCGAATTCTGTAGTACTGCTGGTCA